ACACACACACACCGTGCACCACATGCCACATCCCATATTCCACATGCCACATGCACCAACAGATGACAAGCAATAATCTTCGTGACCGTTGCTTTGTTCTGCACTTCCTTTGCATGCGTTATACAGCCGCTTCAGGCACTTCAAATTGTTTACCGGCCATCTTACCATTTTTTCTCATGGCTAAAAGAATGTGTATGCTTTCCGTGTATGTAGTGCTGGAGTTAGCATTCTACATCTATACCATCACATTGAGAAATAAAGTGGAGTAAAGGAGAATAAATAGTAAAAAATGGAATTGTGGCAAAATCCAATGTGTATGGAGCTGTTTGGTTCTTCAGCTTTTAGTGACAATACGTTCTACAATTACGAAAGTCTCCGCTAAGCTGTACTTCCTTAAGAGGGGATGATATCTCTTTCTGATTATCATTATCTTCAAATAACTGTTTATGGTAATGATTCTTCCTTAATTTTTTTCTTCCGTATACCATCTAACTTAAATGTCAAAGCCATTCAACCGTAAAATTTTGAATTTGTCTAATGAATTTAGTACACAAATTTTGCGATATTTTCTTGTAAACTCTATCCTAAGCATTTTTTTTCTGTTGCCTATGTTTACCTGAAAGGAGAAGACGTCTCGCACACAGCCTTTTATGATGAGTTTGAGGTGGGGGAAGTGGGTGGAGAAGTCCATGCGCTAAAATAAGGTCCTAATACATTGATAATGCTTAAAGCCTCAGGCTTATTTCCTGGAAGCCATATTCATCTCCAAAAATTAAAAATAATCTCCTTTGATTTTGTATATCCTTTATCAACCTTTGACCCCACAAAAAACTTGAAATCTTATCATCTTTACGGTTACTCTAACAAGGATTGGACGTTTTATGCGTATCTGTTGACCATGCTAGGCAGGAATGAATGAGAAGTTGACTAAAAAGAAATTTCAGCAGCGTGGGTACAGATTAATTATTTCCTTTCCAGCCTTGCTAGTGCAAACACTGCCAGTATCAACAACCTGTAGCTCGTGTTGTTGCAGAGGGTATTTTGAAATGAGGCGAGTGAAATTTGACAAATTAGGCTTGTTTTGTACATTTATTTTGGCAGGAAAGTGTGGATGTTTTAAATGATTTAAAAGTCTATGAGTAGCTAAATTCTCTAAATTTGACTGCTACTGATAGCGGGGGGAGGTTGAAACTGGGGGATTTAGGGTAGTTAGGTGATTGGTGTGTGGATGGATGAATTGCTGATTTACTGGCTCCGAGGCGAATAGACGAGTCGAAGGCGGTTTGAATTTCACTTGTTTTGACAAATTTGCATAAGAATCTTCAATGTCTTCTCTTGATGCATGGATTCAAGTGTCCTGGGTTCTGGCCTTACAAGATTTGAAGTGTTAGTATCTTTTGTCAAAATAGAAAGGTCATGAATTCGTAAACTGCTTTGATTAAAGGGCTTATGGCCTATTTAAGCAACTCTTTGTTGTTCAAAAAAACCCCAAATTTTGGATTCCCCATGAAGCTCAATATGAAAACCTTTTAAATTCGACTAATCTATCCTCAGACTTCGGGTGGTGAACTCAAGTTTCATTGTTAGGGGCCGTTGTCTCTTCCTCATGACAGCTCACTGTGTAGAAGGGCCTGCATTTGTGCTCTATGCCTTGTCAGCAGCGTTTTAAACGCTAAGCTAGCATATATACGCTGTTCCATACTTGTGGCTACCGTAGCTCAGGGGATCTTGGAAAGAGCTACCAACTTTCATGAATGAGTTTAAAAGCAATATCAGGATTTTTAATGATTACGGTTAAATACTTTGACTTGAAGTGAGTTTGAAGTCCAACCAATGTAATTGGGATGGTTGTCTAAGTAAATCGGGTCGGCTCACCGGTGTGTACTACACCAAAGCGGTACTCGGCGTCATTTCTGATGCAACAGCAAGACATACCAAAGTGGAAGGAGCCCTGTTGTCGGTTTACGAAAGGCCTGGAAGGCTCTCTGATCATGATTAGTCAAAGAAGTCATTTAAATATGCAAATTCAGCGTAGTTGGGTAAAAGCTTGAATATACATTCGAATTCCACTTTTGGTAATGTAAAATTAGGGAAAGTTTTTTAAAACCTATGTCGCAAATATGCAGTATATGCAAATAATCTTCTGAACTTTGTAATCTCACAAAGTGACTCCAAATAGAATCTCGTGTCGTATATTTTTAAAGCGCCTTACTCTCTACGAAAAGCCGTCCCATCATTAAGTTAATACATTAGAAGATTCGGTTCACAGCTAAAAGCAAATATTCGTGAATGTTTGCGTCTACCATGCCCACAGAAGCATTCATCCCTTGCGCAATTTTACGTCGACACGTTGTGCTTTAATCAATTGTTCAGGATCAGACGTTCTATGCGATAAATCCTCCTTTATAAGAATGGCTGACGAGGCTATGTGTTGGGAACCGTCATGAGCGGGACGTCACTGACAGAAACACACTCAACCATCTTTGTAAGCTTCGTGCCAGTCACATCTTCTGCTGTGGCAGGACTTCGTAACATTGCACTGCATTATACTTACTATCTCCCGCGCAAGTGGATACCCACGAATTTGAAGCCTTTGTGTCCGAGCAACTATAATCATCACTGCACGTTGTCCCACGTGCTAACTAAATGTCCCTGTAGTGTCGGGGCTAACCTATACACTATATGCAGGCTGTGGATAACAGGAGCAACTTGATGCCTACCGCTGTGTGCAGTACTGCTACGGTGGCATGCCTTTTTGATAGTAATCTGGTAAAATTAGAAGTTCAGCTTTGACTCTTCCTAGTATTTTCCTTTTCATAGATAATAACCCTCTCTGCTCTGTCAATTCTTCTTACTGCCCCATTGGCAGCTCTACTGATACCTCTTGTGGCACCATATTTACTGCATCAGGACCTTATCTTCATTCCGGTGGAGGGTACCGACGCAAACCACAATGACAATGCCTATTCAGACAATGATGAAGAGGGAGAAGATAGCCACAAACATCATCATCACCACCGCATTGCCAGGAGGAAGGAGAGAATTGCTGGCAGTAATGATGAGAAGGGGGAGAAGGCAGGAGACTGGAGTGAAGCCGATGACATTTTTCGCGGAATTTCAAAGGAAGGGGATAAAGAGGGGACTCCGTCAACACTAGAGACGGCACTCTGAGAATATTTAATTTAATCAGCACAATTTACTGCTCAAACACTCCCATCCTGCTCATTCACTGGCTAACCAAGCTGTCTACCTGTTCACCCATTGCTGCATCAGTATTCTCTTCCTCCCTCTAACTACCTAATGATCGTTTACCTGGGGAGCCATATACTCGTATGCTCTCTCCCGCCTTTCTTCCCTCGGCCATTTTAAGCTAATTTTACTCAACCGATGATGACAATGATGACTGACACTTACTTTTTAGAGAAGTTGGCAAAGCCTAGCACTGCCGATCGCTCATATTTTCTGCGTATTTGCGTATATGTGATGCTTGTCTATAAATTACTGCCGGAATTATTATTGTATATTCACACGTCTTTTTGGAGTGTGGGGGCCACTATTTGATGAAGTGACCACAAATGGGTGAAGGTGATAAAGTAAGCACTTATAATTGGATAGTTTACGGAGGGCCGTCTTGTCGAATGGGAACTTTTATAGCGTGGAAAAGGTGAAGTAACTGAGTGTGAAAAGTCTCGCCAAAAGCCAGGACATCCACCCATCTTGTTTTGAAGGAGGAGAGAAACATATGCTACCTTGAAGAAGACTTGCGTGGAAACGGTTAATGCATTTGAAGATGCGAAATCAAATACAGGCACCGGTGGAGTTTAAATTTGTTATGACCTCATTAGATCACCAACTGGATGATACGTAAACTTCAATCTCCATGAAAAGAAAACAAATTCCAATTTAGGGTTCTTTGTTTTGGACCATGTACTTTGATTTTTATTGGCCTAGGGTCCGCCAAATTAAAATAGACTTCTCTAAAAGCGAAGGTAGGCATAATGCTGGGGCAGAATATATATTTGACTTATAGTGGGGCTTAGAATTACTGGCATGGCCCGGAGGCCAGTCCACTTGACGAGGGCACAACGGTGGAGCACCTAAGCGAACCTTTGCCAAGACCTAGAGTTAAACGTACAGCCAGCACATTGCAATTCTTTTTTTACATGTAATTTAACCATAAATGAATCCATGATGTAATTTGAGGGAAGATGGCTAATAAAACTTCAAGTTAAGCATTCTTCACCATCCAATTTAACTCAGACAGAGTGATCAAATCACTTCACAGCACTGAAGGCTGACGACTTTCTTCATTTAAATGGATTTGACGATCTCAACTCACCTGTGCATTCGTTTAGTTGAAAGAGGGGACAGATTTTGCAGAAATCACACTTGCAATTCGGACACAGGAAAAGAGGATGTCCGTGAAAGAGCCTTGTCTCTTAGGTTCAGTTTCCGCTACACCTGTTAGTATTTCCAAATAGACAAGACGGAGAAGCGGAATTGCCTTTTATGTTTGTCGTTGTGTCATCCAACCAGAAAGTGATTCTATCATTTTCTTCCCTTATTTTTGTAGTGCTCATCTGTGGGTATGCGTCTGCCATTATGCGGCGTGACTATTTTTGCCGTCGTTATGGTGCCAAAAAGAGGGAGAGTATTAATGAACTAGAATTGGATTCAATTTGTTGTGTTTAGGACTAAAGTAAATTAAATAAGCACATAAGGAGTAGCACAAAAGTGGGTTTTATAATATTACTGACATTTTTGAAGGATTTCTTAAAACTATGGATGATCAAATGATATTCGTTGAGTAAATTGATGCGCAGTTTAAAGTTTTTGGTAAAGTTAGCCGACATATGTGAAGCCTGAAATGGGAAATTGCATTATTTTTGTGATAGAATCATATTTTGTTTAACTAGATGTCTGCTTAAGTGGACCCATCAGTCAATGAAAATTGTATTTTCTCTCAACATTTTCTTCCAGCACGCATGAAGGATCTGCAACTAAGTCTTTCGCATTGCTGTTAACTGAACAGGACACAGAGCATACTTACGCCGCTATAAATGACAGGCAAATGATGTTGTGTAAATATAGTGGAGAACGATAACAAAATGTGGCTTGCCCGTTATCAAAATATCAAGCCAGCTCCTCATTTTAAAAAAGCAGAGGAGTTGAAGATGGATTTGGAAATTGAATGTCAGGATTTTCATTACATCCCATAACACCAGAGTACATAGTTCCACTTCGGAATTTCAACTAACACTACAACAGTGGAAAGGCACGCATTCAAAAACCATGACGAATTGAGACTAGAACACATCACATGATTCAGATGCAATGACCTCACTGATAGGCACATAAGTGTGGGGGAGAACTGGCCATAAATAAATGCAGTCTGCAATCCTCGCAACTTGCCTCTCCCTCCTCTCGATTCACAAGCTCCACTCCATTTGACTCGCCAAATGCATCTGACACGATTCATGCTCAATGCGCTGTCTTCTCGAGGAAAGAAGAGGATTGAACTCACCTGCTCACCCCAGCTGATGAGAGTGGCATCACCAGTGGCACGCGCAGAGTCGAGTGCCAGGGGACCGATAGCCGCCTGAACGGTGGCCTTTGGAATCCAAGCCACCGCGACGAACACCCTCTCCTTCCACTTCAAGGGTGATGGTGTCACAGCGAGAATGGATGCACCCATGCGAAAGGCAAGAGCGATGAGGATGGAGGCGATTCCACGACCTGGAGGAAGAGGGGCACAAAGTGTCAGCTTCATGGTGCAGAGCACACTCGTTGTGAAGCAGAAGAAGAGGAAGAAGGGGATGAAGGCTGAGGAGGAGGAGGAGGAGAGGGAGGGAGGGGCAAGGAAGAGGATGTTATGAAATAAAGGAGAGAAAAGGAGAGGGAAGGGAAATCTATGTATACGTGGGAGTGCTAGTTTCCAAACTACATAGCTTTGTAGATTTCTTGCGCATCTACTTGTGCCAATGAACGAAGATTTAATCAAATGAACGATTGACGAGTAGGCTTCACTCAATGATTTCCAGAAGCATGCAGTTCTAGAGACTTTTTTTAGCCAACCAACATATCGATGTCGGCTTTCGTGGTTAAAAGGCTTCTCGCATCTAGCGCAGCAAGAGACTTGAGGTGCGAATTCGTGACTTAATCAACCTTCTGTTCGAGTCACACATCCTATCTCGGCATAAAGAAGTGGGATGTTGAGGTCAAATGGCAGAAGGTGAGGATCTCACCAATTGTGTCGGCACGCAGCTTCTCCACCGGAATGTCGGCACCGATGAGGCAGAAGAGGAGGGGCTGCACAAACCACCAACACGTGGCCATGTAGCCTCGCATGACCTTGAGACACTCCAATCCTTTCGCTTTATCCAACACCAGAAGTGTAGCCAGTGCTTCTGTTTGCAAGTCCTCTGATGTCTTCCTGAATGCAGGCGCTGCCGTCCTGACATTGTCGACACTTCCTCCTCCACCTCCAGCTCCACCTGCAGCCCCACCTGCGGCTGCAGCTGCGACTGCGGCGGCGGCGGCGGCAGAGGAGGAGGTGTTGACTGCAACAACTGGGGATAGGTCCTCCTCACCACCCACCTTCGTCTCCACTCCACCCGACACTCCTTCCACTAGGTCTGAACGAACGATTTCGCTGACCGTGCGTTTTCGGACAGCCTTGGCGATGGCAGATGAACGAGATGCAGAGAGGGATCGGGTCAAGTTGGTGCGCCATTTTCTCATGTCTACAGGGGGAAAGTGGTGAGGTGTTGATGTCTTGTGGAGAAATTGCATTGAATTCCTCCGCTACTCCTATGACCTATGATTGGTATACGAAATGCAGTCATTGCTACACACCGTCCTGTCTTCACCTCCACCTCCACAGGTCAGCTTAATCGTCATGGTTATGCTTTAATGCCCCTTCCTGACAATCGTATAGTCCATGCCTGCCTAGTCTAGGGTAGTCTGGTCTGGTCAAGTTTGCATTCCTGTCTCGCGGGCAGTTGTTATTCTGCATCTGGCTGCTTTGTGATGCCTGACCGAAGTGGAAGAGAGACTACGGGGTGGGCCTGACTTTGCAAGTCTTCCAAGGAATATTAATGAAATGATTTGGATTGAATGAAAAGCGCCCACATTACACCCTTTTTCTGGTCTTAAAAGGATTCTCTGTCCAATGTGCTTCGTGAACAAGAGCATTGC